GGGGTGAGAGAGAGAGAGAGACGCAGACACACAGAGAGAGAGGCACAGAGGGAGAGGGGGAGAGAAAGAGCGAGAGAGACGGGGTGGGGGGTGTGAGAGAGAGAGAGGGGGAGGGAGAGGCACAGAGGGAGAGGGGTGAGACAGAGAGAGAGAGAGGAGAGGGAGAGGGAGAGAGACGGGGTGGGGGGTGAGAGAGAGAGAGAGAGAGAAAGAGAGACACGCAGACACACAGAGAGAGAGGGAAAGGGAGAGAGAGACGGGGTGGGGTGGGGGTGAGAGCAAGAGCGAGAGCGACACATGCAGGAAATCAGCCTGACAGAATAAACACAGCAACTCTCTGGAATGTTACTGACTTACGCTGTGGTTTCAATGAAATCAATACAGAGCACCACATCAAACTCTCCGGGTCGGAAGGTGAACTCAGGGACATGAGTGAACGGAGGCTTGGGGCTTTGCCTGCCACTCTCCGTGCTGCTGGTCTGTGGCTCTGCCATGTCCTCACTCATGGGCAGCCATGCTGCACTGCCAGGATCTCCATTGCACGGAGGTGGGCACAGCAGTGGCTGGCTGTTAAACCTGGCACAGAGAAGAAGAGAGAAAGCTGAAATCCCAGCGAGGGCGGTTTACAAGGACCACATCCCTCTCCAACAGCCCTGTTACCCCCATGACTGCCAAACCATTCCTGGGATCTTGCTGTGCCACTGATACCGCAGAGCTACAATTGTAACGTACTTTGCTGGGTGCTCACTGCCACCTGCCCTTGCCTTGGCCGAGGGCACAGCTCCGATGGGCAGTCAGAAACACAAGAGTCATAGAGACGTACAGCATGGAAACAGACCCTTCGGTCCAACTCATCCATGTCCACCAGATATCCTCAATTAATCTAGGCCCATTTGCCAGCATTTGGCCTGTATCCCTCTAAACCCTCCCTATTCATGTACCCATCCAGATGCCTTTTAAATGCTGTAACTGTACCAGCCTCCACCACTTCCTCTGGCAGCTCATTCCATACACGCACCACCCTCTGTGTGAAAAAGTTGCCCCTTAGGTCCCTTTTAAATCTTTCCCCTATCACTTTAAACCCTATGCCCCTCTAGTTTTGGACTCCCCTACCCTGGGAAAAGACCCTGACATTCACCCTATCCATGCTCCTCATGATTTTATAAACCTCTATAAGGTCACCCCTCAGCCTCCGAATCTCCAGGGGACATAGCCCCAGCCTATTGAGCCTCTCTCTATAGCTTCAGCCCTGGCAACATCCTTTCCGCGCCCCTTCAAGTTTCACAACATCTTTCCTGCAGCAGGGAGACCAGAACTGAACGCAGTATTCCAAAAGTGGCCTAAGCCCCAACGTCCTGTACAACTGCAACACGACCCCTCCACGCCCCCCCCACAATTCCTATACCCAATGCACTGAGCAATAAAGAATTGTACCAAACACCTTCTTCACACCCCTGTGGACCTGCGACTCCACTTTCAAGGAACTATGAACCTGCAACAGGAAACTGAAAGGCCCTCCTGCCCCTCGATCAGAGCTTCTCAGCCCCGGTTCTGTGACCATGAACCCCCTCCCCCAACACAACAAACCAAAGTTCACCCAATCTCAGATGGGGGAAGGGGTTACTGTTCCAGATCTCTACCACACCAAGTGTGAATAAAGTACTTCCTCCCAGCAGTCAATCCCCTTCCCCAACTTGAAGGGCATAGGTCAAAGTTGAAGGGTCTAACCACACATCCCCCACCTTTAATCACCCTTTGAATCCCTCCAGTGGATCAATTCCTCAATCTCCGACACTCAAAGGAACACAATCCTGGTCTATGTGAATCCCCAACCGCCCACTCGAGGGAACACAATCCTGGTCTGTGTGACCCTCACCCTCAGAGGGAACGTAACCCTCTCAGCCCTGGCAGTATTCTGCCTCTGAGTGCCGGGATCCCAGTTGGTATCATTCACAGGCATGAATTTGCCGAGTCCCAGAATCATCACACGTCCTTATCTGACCCTGGACAATGTGTGATGAGCTGTCTTCCTGAACCACTGCAGTCTATGTGCTGTAGGGACACTCGCACAATGCCGATAGGGAGGGATTCCAGGATTTTGACCCAGTGATACTGAAGGAACCTCCGATATATTTCCAACTCGGGATGGTGAGTGGCTCAGAGGGGAAACTGCGAGGCAGGGCGGTGGGGGGGAGCTGTTCCCATGTATCTGCTTAGTGGGAGAGGGGTCTCAGATTTGGAAGGTGATGTTGGGAGAACCTTAGTGTGTACAGTTTAAACAGTTTTGGTCTCCTTACTTGAGAAAGGATGGACTGGCACTGGACGGGGGTACCGAGGAGGTTCACTAGGTTGATTCCAGGGTTGAGAGGGTTGCTTTATGAGGAGAGATTGAATAGACTGGGACTGTACCCATTGGAATTTAGAAGAATGGCGGGGGGGGTATCTTATGGAAACATAAGATTACGAAAGGATTAGATAAGATAGAAACAGGAAGGTTGTTCCCAGTGCCAGGTGAAACTAGAACTAGGGGCATAGCCTTAAAATAAGTGGGAACAGCTTTGGGACTGAGTTGAGGAGAAACTTCTTCACCCAAAGGGTTGTGAATCTGTGGGATTCCCTGCCCAGTGAAGCAATTGAGGCTTCCTCACCGAATGGTTTCAAGGCAAAGATAAATTTTTGAGCAGTAAAGGGATTAAGGGTTATGGTGAGTGGGCGGGTAAGTGGAGCTGAGTCCACGAAAAGATCAGCCTTGATCGTACTGAATGGGGGTGCAGGGTCCAGGTGGCCTTTATGGTGAGTTGCTGCAATGTGCCTTGTGGTTAGCAGTGGGTGAGTGGTGGAGGGAGCGGATGGGCTGCTCTGTCCACTGGGAGTTGCTGAACCGAACCACGAGCGAGGTCAGAGATATAAAGCATCAGGTCGTGGCAACAGAAAGTTGAGAGATGTCATCGATCACCTCCCCACCGCAACCACCCCCACCTCCCAGCACCACAAACCCCACACCCCCCATCCCCCATCCCCCTGCCCTGCACCACCCCACCAAACAACTCCACCCCCATTCCCCCAAACCCCCACAGCCCCATTCCCACAACCCCAACCCCAGTCAGCCCCATTCAACACCACGCCCATCACACACACAGACACAAGCACGCACACACACAGAGCTTACCCCGCGGCCGCGATGGCCGGAGCCTGATCTTCCTCGGCCTCCTGAGCCTGAGCTAGGATGGCCTGTCCATCCTTGCCCAGTTTGCCCTCCTCTATCCTCTCCTCCTCCAAGTGCTCCATGTTCAGCTTCTCTCCCAGCTTCAGGCCCTTCTCAGTCAGGGTGAACCTGGAGGGTCCCACACAATACAGAACTCACTGCAGCAGCAACACCAACCACTTGCATTTACATAGCGCCTTTTGACACTCCGAACCACTGTGCAGGATTGTGATCGGGGGTAACTGCGACTTAATGCATGTGCAGAGGAATTAGTGATGGAGGGTGGAAACTGCTTGTTCCATAGTAAGGACCATCTCAGAAGAGGAAATAGGAAAAAGAGAAGAGAGGCTTTGGAAGGAAATTCTCGAGCTCAGGACCCCAGGAAGCTGGAGGCACAGCCGCCGACAGCGGTGAGACAGGAATCTTGGAATGTTCAACGAGCTGGAATTGGAGGAGGTGACAGAGATAGGGAGGGGGTGTAGGGGCCGGATGAGGTTGCAGAGATAGGGACGGGGTGTAAGGAGATGGAGGAGGTTGC